TAATATTACTATTTAGGATTTTGTATATTGATTGTAGTTTGTTGTTATATTGTAGATTAATATCGTATATTGATTGATAATATTATATTGTAATTGTAGTTTGATCTCATATTGATTGTCTGAGGTGTAGTTTGATTTGTTTTGTTTTGATGCTACTTTTTAAATCAATACGAGCGCGCGCGCGTGCCAGTGTGCTTACGTGGGCGCGCGCGCGTGCCAGTGTGCTTACGTGGGCGCGCGAGCGTGCTGCTGCTTGCGTGCGAACGCTGCGCCCGTGAAGTGAAATAGTGCTGATTCAGTATTTGAATTTATTCACTGTTATTATAATTATTAATATTATTATTGTTAATATTATTATTAATATTATTATTATTATTATTATGATTGAGGTCATTGACTCCGATGTTGGTGAGTGAACTGCGTGTGGAGGGAGTGCAGCAGAATGGGGTAACGCTGGCTTGGAATGCGCCGGTTTTGGAAGGGAATGGCCATAGTAATGGTCATTTTAGACAGCCGGTTTATGAGGTGAGGTTGCTTTTGGGATTTAGTGTGGTTATTATTATTATTATTTATTATTAATGAAAATATTTCAGATAGAATCGCGTCACAACGGCTCAGTGGCAGTCTCTGAAACGGCAAACAACTACTTCACATTCGATGATTTGAATCCAGTTTTTCCGTATTCCTTCAAGGTGAATACTTTTATTGTATTAATTATTTAGATTAATTAATTGTTCAGATTAATTAATGGTTTAGATTTTATTAGTTATTAGGTATTTATAATGATAATGATAATAATTGAAGGTGCGGGCGCTAACAGACTTGGGTTGGGGAATGTGGAGCGAGCCGTTGTGGTATCAGCCGGGTCGAGGGCAGTTCTCTCCGATGCATACGGTCACCGGAGGGGATTACATCACGCACGAAGGCGGCTTTATGTTAGCTTTTATTATAATGTTTTATTTTTATGTTTGTATAATAATAATAATAATAATAATAATAATAATGATAATNCAGCCGGGTCGAGGGCAGTTCTCTCCGATGCATACGGTCACCGGAGGGGATTACATCACGCACGAAGGCGGCTTCATGTTAGCTTTTATTATTATGTTTTATTTTTATGTATATATAATAATAATAATGATATAAATAATAATAATAATAATAATAATAATAATAATATTAATAATAATAATGATAATTCAGCGATCACAATTGGGCACTGGGAGGTCCTCCAGTCTGGGTATGGATACTGGTATTGTGCGTAGTGCTGGTAATGGTTGTATTCAGTTTGCTGGTTTGTTCGAGGAAATCAAAAGGGAATCGGAAGCAATTCAGCGATTGCGACGGTCTGGAACCGTATAAAAATGGTATTTTAATTAATTAATTAATTAATTAATTAATTGTTGTTGTTATTAAGGATTGATTATTATTATATTATTATTATTACGTATTATTACATTGATCAGGGAGGGTTGAGTGGAAGGATTCAGTGCAGTCGGTCGTGTGTTTTAGAGCGCAATTCCTTTCTATTGTTCTATTCGAATGGCTGTTTTAAAATGCAGTCTGTATGCATGGTGTATGTTTAGGTGCGGGGCTGGGCTCTTCATTAACTTCATTAGCTGATTATTATTATGATTATTATTATTGTTATTATGATTATTATTATTATTATGATTAATATTATTATTATTATGTAATGTTATTATTATAATTATTATTATGATTAATGTTATTATTATGATTATTATTATTAATTGAACTCTACAGTTAGGCGGTATTCCTATTCTTATGGTACGTGTGAAAATTATTTTAGTTATTTTCATTTTTATTTGATCGAGTCGGCTCAGGGAATGGCTTCTGTAAATTTGTTATTATGTTTCTGTTGTGATTTAATGTAATCATTAAATATTTTAATAATAATAATAATATTATTATTATTATTATTATTGTTATTATTATTATTGTTTTACTGCTTTAATATGCAATAAGTATGGTGATAGAGCTTGTTGGCGTACGGCTTGGGCTGTGATATTAAGGCTGGCTTCTGAACGCTTTCGTGAATTTTTTAATGAGAGTACTTTTTATTGTGTTTATTTTTATTATTTATTTATAATATAAAATGTTATAAATTTATAATTAGTATTATTTATTTATGTTATATTGTAAAGTAATGTATGTATATATTTTAAATTAGAAATAGACGTGAAGTAGTTTAGAAACGATATGATGATGGTGTATGTCGTATGTATTGGTTAAAATTATTATTGTATTATTAATGTATATATGATAATTACCTTATTCTCTTGAATACAGATGATTGCTGTGAGAAAATTCGTTTGAAGAGAAGTTAGTTTTGAAAATTACAGAATTGATTAATTAATTAATTAATTAATTACGTCTGAGCGGGATCGGTATTCAGGAGAGTGTGGTGATTTGAGAGTGGAAATGTATTGAACGGGAATCATTTCAGGTACGTTGACACCCGACTACAATACACCACCGCC